TTCCCTCTCTCGCTGTGTCTCTCTCTGTCAAATAAATATATAAAATCTTTTATATATATATATATATATATATATATATATATATATATATACTCTAAAGTGAAACCTCCAACTTGGAATCTTGGCCAAGGGAGTTTTGCTTGAACTGTTAGTTAACTCACTGGCAGCCTGAAGGAGTAGTCTGTGATCAGATAATCATCTGGGAGACGTGAGTCTCAGAGAGGAGCAGTTTTTATCTACTGTTCGGAATTGGATCTGCTCAGTCATCTGCTATTGTCTCAGGCTATGAAAGACTGATGGTATTCAGGCAAACTAGTAAAAGTTGATCCTCAAATTACTTTTGATTTCTCAACAAGCACGTATGGCCTCAAGGAAAAGAATAAGCTAGGAAACGGAGGTTGAAGCTGTGCTGACCGCCGTCTGTCGTGCTGCGTCCCAGCTTTGCACCAGAGGCTCGGATGACTTTCATTTCATTAGCAAGAATGCTAAATCAATGGCATTTGTAAGAGGCTAACCTAATAATAACTTTGATGAATAGTGATTAAAAGATACCAGGAGGAGACCAAGGGTTTAATAACAACATGATGTTATTTCAGTGTCAAAAGAGTACCAGAAGACAGATCTCTGAAACCAGTATTAACTTTCAATGAAGAATGCTTAGGTGAAATATATCTAATTACATTTGGAATGTTCCAGGTTTACTCTTGCTTGAATTTTGCACCCTACTGCCTAACAAGTTATTTTTAACCTTCTACTTGCCTTGTTTCCCTGGCCCAGTTGTGTAGCCTTAAACAGTATCCACTCTCATCCTGGATTTCTTCCACTGTCCTCTCTAATCTCCAGTGTCCTGTATGATCTCATACATCTATGTATCTCAACCAAAAAACTGAGTGACAGGAGACCATTTTTTTTCCCCAAAAGAAAAGGAAAAAAAAGAAAAATTATATATGTATGTGTGTGTGTGTATATATGTATATATGTGTGTGTATATATTTATCTATATATATATCTGATGATATTAACATGTAAGTTCTGTGAAAGGAAGGATTTTGTTCATTTCTGTAGCTCCATTATCTAGAACAGTCCCTGACATATAGTAGCTACTCACTATGTGTTAGAATGAAATAATGCCTTCGTAAACCTGTAATTAGCATGACAGTAGCAGCTCTGCTGTGAAGCTGGATCAGACTTTTTTTTTTAAGTTTTTTACTTTAATTCCAGTATAGTTAACATACAGTGTTCGTTTAGTTTCAGGTGTACAGAATAGTGATTAAGCAGTTCTATCCATTACTCAGCGCTCATCATGATGTACATAAATGTACTCTTTAATCCACATCACCCATTTCACTCATCTCTCAGCCCACCTCCCTGAGACTTATTTCTGAATTGATGTTTTTATAGATCCAGAAAGCCACCAACTCCTCTCGAAGTGAACCTGAAGGGCGAAAAGGCACTATTTCACAATATTTCACTACTTTACACTGTCCTGTGTGTGATGACCTGACGCAGCATGGCATCTGTAGTAAATGTCGGAGCCAACCTCAGCATGTTGCAGTCATCCTCAACCAAGAAATTCGAGAGTTGGAACGTAAAAAGGAGCAACTTGTAAAGGTATGACCTTGTTAGATAGACCCAGAACCCCAAACAATCTGATTCTTTAGGGAAATGTCATCAATACTTGAGATATAGTTTGGGATATAAAACTGGGTGAAAAGTGGAATAAAGATTCTAAGTTAATAAACTTTTAAAATATCAAAAATATCATAATTGAACTAATTACCAGATGGCTTGTTTTGGATACTAACCCTTTATCAGATATGTCGTTTGCAAATATCTTCTTCCATAGGTTGCCTTTTAGTTTAGTTGATTGTTTCATAACTTATTTTTTGTTTTTATGGAATAGTGTATTGTGTTTATTAAAACTTAGAACTACAATTTCTTCTACCCAATTTGTTTTATAATAGTATTTTTTTTTAAAGGAAGTACCAATTTCTCTACCATATCTATATACCATTCTCATAAAAATCTGATTGTCATAGAGAATTGCTAATAAACTTGGAAGACTCACAGTTCTGAAGGTCCAGATAGAAAATAGTTAACATGATTGAGTCTTAATCTGTGCCAGAGAACTGTCACAAATGAGTAAACTGTCACAGAGGGGTTAAGTAATTTGCCCTATGTTACATTGCTAATAAGCAGCTGGCTGGAATACAGACATAAAATGCAGAGATGATTTTTCAGATGTGGGAATTCTAGCAGAAATAACAGAAATCTCTTGAAATAAGTTGGAAAATGAAATCTGAAGAAAAATTATCTAGCACATTTTTTAAAAACAAAGTAGTGTATTTCTTAAAGGAATGATTATATCTTATACCATCATATTTTGTATTTTTAGCTTTCAGGCTAGAGAATACAATTTTGGAGTGTAGTTTGTTTTGTCTTGTTTTAGAGAAGCAATATATAAAGTTATTGAAATGTTTGAAAACCAAATAATTAAGAGGTAGGTAGTGTGAGTTAGTGGAAAATGAATCATGCTGATAATAAAGACATCAGGATTCTAGTCTGGACTTCATAATATTGGCCTTGTCCTTTGGCCTGTTTTATCAGAATGCTCTTTTATAAGCCCCTCTAGCTCCAGCATTGTAAATTCTCTTATACAATCATTCCTCACAGTCCTAAAGTAATCCAAACCAGTATGTGAAGGCCAGGCTCTGCACCTTGTCCTCAAGGTAAAGAAGCTATTGAATCAAGACAGAGTGTCAGTCCACAATCTCAGTAAAACTTAGCTGCCACAAAGGTGAACAGGGAGAGAGAAGGCTCTTAAGAATTTGAATATTATATAAAGATTGATTAAGGGTTGGTAAAGCACAGACTATTTCCTCTGCACCATTCTAACTGCTGCAGTTAGTACTGGCAGGAAATTCTTAAGTTTTAGAGAGCACGGCCAGTCATCCAGAATCCATTAAACAGATCTCATTAAGGATGGTGGAATCGTAAAGGTATGATTATTTTGATGCAACCACAGAAAGCCCAGCTTGTTGAAATAAGCTGATTCTTCCCTCTCCCCTTCCACCCTCTAAGTAGTTCTTAAACACCCTCACTTTTCTCCTTCCCTTCTGTTATCATCCATTCTCTCTCCCCTAAACTCCTGCGACAACCTCCTACCTGCCATTGTTTCCATTCTTTTTTTTTTAAGATTGATTTATTTGAGAGAGAGAGAGTGTGCATGTGTGAGCGGGGTGAGGCGGCACAGGGAGAGGGAGGAGGAGAGCAGCAGACTCCCTGCTGAGCACAGAGCCTAACACTGGGCTCCAGCTCACGACCCTGAGATCATGACCTGAGCCGAAATCAAGAGTTGGGGAGGCTTAACCGACTGAGCCACCCAGGCGCTACTGACTCCATTCTTAACACAAGCTAGAATTATATTTTAAAAGTACAAGTCTGGTGCTTTCTCTTTCTCTCTGATAAAATTCAAACTCCTTAGGTGTGCTTTATAAGTCTGTCTCCATTCTGGCACCTTCTTGCTACCTCTCTGTCAGCATTGCTTACCCTTGTCCCTATTACACTCGACCCTCCATGCATGCCATACTGCACTTTTAGGTCCATGAATGCACTTTAATTTCTCCCCTGTTCTGGCCTTTAGAAATCCTGTTCCTTCTGTCTGGAATGCTTTCCTCTACCGCCATTAATCATCATCTACAAGGAATCAGCTTGAACCCCTAGACCCGGTGAAGCCTTCCCTGCAGTGGGCTCCTGCCATAACCTGTTCTGCTTTACTGTGATGAGGTGTAGGTGTCTTCCCCCACTAGAAAGCTAGGAGCCCAGTGAGGGTAGAGACCCTGCCCCTCTCTCACTGCTGAGACGGCTGGGCCTGAGCAGAGTCCAGCCCATGGGGGTAGTCTGTAAAAATCTGAATGAATGAACAGCTTCCTGCTGAAGGCACAGCAGTATGTCACTGGCCTGATTACCAAACAACTTTTAGCCACTTTGTATTAGTTTAAGGTTCTAGTTGGTGCAACCACTGAAGTCCACTGGATGTTCCCAGCTTCTGTTTTATAGGTTGCTGCCCTGGTGATAGCAACCAACCCTCATAGAAAATTCCCTTGTTGGCTTCTATTACAAGGCGCAAATGTGAGCAGGACCTCCAGAGCTACACTGAAGTCAAAGGCTGTGATTGGTCTCTTCCCCGGACCTTCCTGTCTTCTGCCCTCAGTAACATACACCGCACTAGTCGGTGCCATCTATTTAACTAGAACCCTCGGTCAAGATTAGTTCTTATTTCATATAGAAATAGTTTAAAAGAAGGGATGCTGTTTATAAATAAGGATGGTTCATCATCTTTCAAAAGATATTTTAAACTTTAAAGCATTTTTTAAGAGAATTAAAATGTGTGTCCCCTGTGTACTAAGTAATCAGTAGGAATTTTCATAAAGCAGAAATTATAGGAGACATAATAAGAAACAAATATTAGTAATAGATTTTCATGCTTCTCCGCCCAAGAACAATCAAGTGATCAAAAAAGTAGAGAAGATGTAAACAACATATGGTAGACCTTATGATTATATATCAAACTCTGAAACCCAATATTATAGAATAACTTTTCAAGCGTTACAACAAATATCAAAAAAAATCGACCCTATGTTAGTCTGTAAGGAAAGCTTTAAAAAGGAGCACCTGGGTGGCTCAGTCAGTTAAGCATCTGCCTTCGGCTCAGGTCATGATCCCAGGGTCCTGGGATCGAGCTCCACATCAGGCTCCCAGCTCAATGGGGTGTCTGCTTCTCCCTCTGCCCCTCACCCTGCTCGTGCTCTCTCTCAAATAAATAATATCTTTTTTTTAAAAAGCCTTAATATATTTCAAGAAGTTAGAAATATTAGACATTTTATCAATACAATGCTATAAAGCTAGTAATTCATTATAAACTCAGAAAACAAAATGATCATTCCACCTGGAAATTTTAACTTTCTCTTAAACACTACACACAAGATTCTAGACAGCCATAGCAGATCTGATCTCAGAGAAAAATTCATTACCTTAAACACTTTTTTTAAAGATTTTATTTATTTGCGAGAGAGAGAATGAGAGACAGAGAACATGAGAGGGAGGAGGGTCAGAGGGAGAAGCAGACTCCCTG